GCATCTATAACATCCCAAGGGAGTTATGACCCTCCTAATTGATAGTGTAACTAAGATGATACAAGCTTATAATATACTAGTCAGAAATAAAATATTTTACATATTAAAAATTTCACGGACACAGATTCCTTACAGTTTAATATCGAAATTTTAAAAACTACTTTCAAAATTTAACACACAAAGACAAGTATTTTCAATACAAACTGTTGTCTCCCTAGCGCTTCACTGGCAGATATACAAGGTGAGTCAAGTTTTTTGTAGCAGGACTTTAACAGCTTAAAGGAGACATTTTTTTAAAAGACGAAAATCTTACATAAACATATATGCCTGTGAGCTTTGCTTCCGATATACAGGGTTTGAAAGTTTGCATTTTTCTTGTATTTTTCATATTTCCTCCTACATTTTTCAGAATAATGGATTGAAATTTGGTGCACCTATCACACTTCGCAAAAGCAATTGAGCGTTCATGAATACCTACAGGATGATACACTTTCGAGGGTCGTACCCGAGTTAACCCTATCTAACTTTTTTGCGTATCGCCTCTGTTTTATATGGAACATCAATTCAGATTCTCTTCAATTTGAATACTTCTTGATCTCTTACATTTTTCTGAAAACTTCCAATTTATCAAAATCAAAATTGTCATTATCGAAATTATCATTATTTCATAAATTTTACAATTACAATTACAATTTTTACAATTACAATATACAAATTACAATTACAATCTACAAATTTCACACAATATACAAATACACAATTGAGTATACAATCTATTGTATGCACCTAGGTGTTACAACACCTGTATGTCTTAAGAGAATATATGAAATGCAATCATAAACATAATTTAACTTAACATAAAACAACTATGTGACTATAATAATTGTTAAAATTTAAAATTATAACTAATATAAATTGAATATTGAAGAATTTCTTACATTTATGGACTATACCGGGTGTAACAGGATCATGGTACACCCCCCGTATCTCCGTTAGTTTCAGAGGTAATTAATTGGAATTTGGAATATCCCATATACATAATGAGAGGCACTTTTTGAACTACAAATGATTTTTTTACCACTTCCGATTTCGCCGGAAGTGATACCAACTTTCGATTTTTAAATGGAACACCCAGTATATTATTACATTTCTGAAATCTGCATAATTTTCTGAATCCAATGATACCACATAAATGACATTTCAAACGTAAAAATTTTTAATATTTTTATTTTTCGTTTTCCATTTAAGTGTGCCATGATGGTTCCGATTTATTCCAATTGACCCGTCTAATGCTAGAAAAATCGAAATCCTCTCGAAAATACAAAATTGCGTTTTTTATGAGCAAATAAAGTTCATCGTAATCGATTTTCGGGTAAAACTCAATTTTTTCAAATGGAACCATATTGGTACCGTGGTACCATTTATTAGTACTATTAATTAGCAATTTATCCATACCTGCTAATGAAATGTGCGATAAATACAATCAAAATCACAGCTAAAAGAAAATAAGAAAATACAATTATTTTGTTCTAATTTAATGCTGAGAAATTACTAAGGTGGCTTTGAAAACAATGAAATTATTCCTTCATATTGTCAAATAAATGTTGGTTTATCGGTGGTTTATCGGTGATGTCATTGTGTATTGGAAAAGTCTTTACATTTGTTGTTATTCACGTTCAAAATACCGCACATTCATACAAGGGATGAAAAAGTGAACATGTTGATTATTTATTGGGAATGTAGAAAAAATGCCGTTGCGGCTAGAAACCTTCATGCCGACCGATATCCTGATAGAATTTTTTTGTAATTTAAAGCCACCCCAATAACTTCTCAGCATTAAATTAGATCAAAATAATTGTATCTTCTTATTTTCTTTTAGCTGTGATTTTGATTGTATTTATCGCACATTTTATTAGCAGGTATGGATAAATAACTTATTAATAGTACCAATAAATGGTACCACGGTAGCAATATGGTTCCATTTGAAAAAATTGAGTTTCACTCCAAAATCGATTACGATGAACTTTATTTGCTCATAAAAAACCCAATTTAGTATTTTTGAGAGGATTTCAATTTTTCTAGCATTAGACGGGTCAATTGGAATGAATCGGAACCATCATTGCACACTTTAATGGAGAACTAAAAATTAAAATATTAAACATTTTTACGTTTGAAATGTCACTAATGTGGTATCATTGGATTCAGAAAATTATGCAGATTTCAGAAATGTAAGAATATACTGGGTGTTCCATTTGAAAATCGAAAGTTGGTATCACTTCCGGCGAAACCGGAAATGAAAAGAAAATCATTTGTAGGTTGAAAAGTGGCTCTTATTATGTATATGGAATATCTCAAATTTCAATCAATTACCTCTGAAACTAACGGAGATACGGGGGTGTACCATGATCCTGTTACACCCGGTATATTTCCCTGCATAAAGTGTTAATTTATTTACCAACATTGGTAGTTTGATAGTTAATCTCTGGTAGTTTGATAGTTGTAAAATAACCGAAACACCATGTATGAGTGAAAAATTGGTAGCTATTAGACTAAAAGCTTTGTTCAGAGTGAAAACATCCAAAGTACAAGATCAGCAATTTTAAAAACTACAAAATCTGTATGTAATCTTCTTATAACTACTTTGTGTTCAGTGACCTAGGAAACGAAAAATGAAACAATAAATACCTTTTTTTCTGTGACGGGAAAAAAGTTTGGCATTTCATCTCTGTTGGCAGGTTATAAAATGTCACTTTTCATAAATTACTTTTTTCCCGTGAGAAAAAAGTGAGTACTTTCTTCCCGGATATATATCACATATATACACTGTTGATTGCTTTTGTTGTGCTATAGTTCCGAAAAATGAGTCAATAATACCGTCTCCGAGAAAGAACTGCAAGTCCTTTTATCTTCCATTCGACTTCGCGGTTACGTATATTACTAAACAACCACTAAATTCGCAATTTTTTGAAATCAAATCATAGAATTAGACTGACAGAAGTGACATCAGATATTTGATTACTTCAAAAGAATGATAAAGATGCCTACAACCATCTACAACGCAGGTGTCCCTACTGTTAAAAACTTCAAAAAAATTTCACGTCGATAATTATCAGATTTCAAAATAATGTAATATCTTCTCAATATTGATTCGTCCTGTCTTCTGTCACCGAAAAAAATAGTGTATTATACACGGGAAAAATATTAGATTTTAGCTCACGGTTTTTTGTCTCCCTCCGCTACACGTCGGGAGACAACACAACCTGAAGCTAAAATCTACTACTTTTTTCCCTTGTATAAAAAATAACTATATTTATCTTTTGACATTTCGTTCTGCACAAATGAAGCGTACCTAGTTGAAATTGTAATCAAAATTTAATCTGAATTCTGCCTACTCAATTATTGGTGAAAGAAATGCCTCACATTTTTTCAAATCAAGAACATGCGGATATTCATTTTGTTTACTTTATGGCTTTGCGAATGGAAATTTAGCAGAGGCTGCCAGGAAACATAGAAGAAGGTATCCACTTAGAAGACATCCTCATCCCAATGGCATAAAAAATAGACACAATCATGAAGAAAATAATGCAAATTTTGTGCAAAATAGAAATGAACGGCAAATTTTACGTAAATTCATTGAGAACCCAGTACGAGAAGGGCTGCACTTACACTTGGCGTCTCACAAAGCAAGGTATCCCGAGTTTTAAAACGAGATCACAGGCACCCTTACCATTTGCAGCCTGTGCAAGGTTTTCATCCAGGAGACGAAGAACGAAGGATAGATTCTTGTCAATGGAGCCTAACTTCAATTCAGAACGACTGAATGCTGGAATTTTTTTGCAGTTTTTGCAGAGGGAACATGTCAACATGTTGGAAGAAATTACATTAGATTTGAGAATAAGGGTGTGGTTTCAACTTGATGGTTGTCCAGCTCATTTTAGAAGAGATGTGAGGAACTGGCTAAATGATAATTTCCCAGACAGATGGTCGCCAGATCTGACTCCTTCAGACTTTTTTGTTTGGGGATTTCTGAGGGGAAAGTTTACCAAACCTCGGTTCAAACAAGAGGAGAACTGGTTCTTCGAATAAGAAATGCATGCCAGGATATAAGGGTTCAACTTTTAATTAGCGCAAAACGTTCAATTATTCAACGCCGGTTTGAAATGTGCATAGAACAAAATGGTTCATATTTTGAGCATTTATTGTGAGAGGTTTTATCGAAATTCATTTGTTTTTAATTCTTTTTCTCTGCGTTACGCCAAGTGTGAGCGCAGCCCTTTTCCTACTTGAAGCTGGGTTCTCAATGAATTTACGTATAATTCGCCGTTCATTTCCATTTTGCACAAAATTAGCATTGTTTTCTTCATGATTGGGTCTATTTCTTATCCCATTGTTAGCGAATCTTGTGTGTATGTTTCAGACAAAACGTTTTGTTCGTCGTTAACAAAAAAATAGAACAGAGCAAAAAGTATCCAAATTGGAGAGATATTCTGAATTAATGATTTATTGAATGCAGAAGCGGCGCACAAAAAAGTTCGGGAGTGTTAAAAGGGTACGACCCCAAAAGTGTATCATCCAGTAAGTATTCAAGAACGCTCGATAGCCTCAAATATTGCGTTTCCATAGTGTACTAGGTGTACCATATTTCAATTCATTGTTTTGAAAATTGTAGCAGAAAACTTGAAAAACACAAGAAACATCTCAAACTTTGAATCCCTGTATATCGGTATACCGAGTTACATATTTTTTTCTACAGGGGTTCTGGAGAAATTTAGAGAAATCTTAACTTTCTTCTTACTTTCGGCACCCTGTATCTCAGTGAGGATGCATTTTAGGACATACGTTGATAGGAACTTTTCACCTCAAAATGAGGTGAAGAATCTGTGTACGAAGTTTGTCGGTCCCACCCTGTATAGACGATATTCCAGCACACTCATATTTCTTTTGGGATTATCACATGGATTAACGTGTTCCTCAGTACATTTATTTTATTTTTTCCCAAGTTTCAGATGTTGATCAAGAATGTACCATTTTCTCAGGAGTTACATATCTTGGAGCAGCAGCCATTAATGCTCCGAAGTCTGAGGCTGAAATACAGCGAAATATGACAATATTGAATGAACAAAGTACTGAACAGGGAATAAAAATTTCTGTATCAGTACCCTCATCATCTCAAGGTCTTGTTATGTAAGTAGTGAATATTCATTAATTAATAAATACTGTGCAACGCGATACTAAGAGTCTGACTTGAGTTGAAGAATCCTACTATTATCATACAATTATTTGGAGTATTGATATATTTCTGATTCAGATATCGCTGCAATCAATCAATCGCTAGTAATACCAATCAAACGTTCTTTACAAGCCCAGTTAGCACATTCTTTCGTCGTCAACCTCGAAAATTATTCGAACAACTCTTTACCAAAACTCGTTTGTCTACAGAACGACAAAACTTTGGAATTCTTTTCCAAACGAAACATTCCCAAGAAATTAATCTCCACAAGTTGAACAAATTCCAATGCCTAGCTTCTTTCCCTATCCTCCCTAGGTACACACTATATTATAGGGATTCCCTCTCGTGCGCTCCAAGAGATGAGTGCAGACAAAGCTCTCTAGTTTTCAGGGGCAGGCTTGTGTGGAAATCACTGGAGCCATCATTACCACACCGTCAGCTGCTATGGACATTTTTCTATACCTACTTCCTCTCCACATATTTCTGAAGAGAGAGGCATATTGCGAATTGCACAAACTTGCAGCACAAACTAGCAGACTACTGATGGAAATTGAAAGACAGCATTCTGGGAATGACCTACGACATAATGCGTCCATTAGCTATCTATGTTGCCTTGGGAAATAATCTTTCAGATGGGACTGATGTTCCAGGCACAGTGAAATATTTGAAAGCAATATTATTCAAGATATCATTGGAAACAAACCAATTTTCTGAATGATGATGATGTTCTTAGGTCCACTTTATATCACCTTCCACATACTGGCGGATCGATATAATAGCCTTAGAGCATGGTGTTGAAATTTTCTACATAATTTTGTTCACGCAAATATTGAACAATGGCTATACATTGGGTGAAAAAGCACGGTCGAGTGGAAACTACAATTGAACATTCGAATGTTTCGTGGCCTCATTGATAACTTATTGCCATCTATATACTATCGATAATACTATCGATGGTTTGCTACCTCTACTGTGCTTGGGCATTCAAACTTCATTATTCATAGAGAGCTCTTGTATTTTTTGTATAATATCATTACAATGAATTCCGGTTTCAGTTTTTCACAAAGCCTCAGTAGGAAACTTGAAATAATTCCTTTTCATTCCACGCCAACCTCCCTTCTTTATACAGAATACGCGATGATGAGTTCTCCTCAAGTAAAATTATCCGGAAGTAAAATACCTCTCCATTCGGATTTCCGGGCGAGAGGTGCTAGAGGGGGTTCACCATCGGCTGAAAAAGTCCTCAAGATAGACCTATGTAACATCCGAGGTCTAAGTAAGAACATCAACGATGTCCATCGACACCTTCAAATTGAAGAGCCAGACATATTGGCTCTTAATGAGACACAGGTCAATTCATCCACCAATACGACCTATCTGCTTTGTCCTGGGTACGAACTCCACACACGTTTCAGATTCAAGGGAGGTCTCTGCCTCTACTCTAAAACGAATCTCTATGTCAACGAGAAAAAACTTTGGAACCAAATAAGTTTGATGTCATGTGGTTCAATCTCGATAGCCAGAAACAGACCAAATACCTTTGTTGTCTCTACTTATCACCAAATGATCCATCCTATGAAGAGCTCTTCGAATTCTTGTCTCTGAAACTTGACCAAATTCAACAGAACCATCCAGCAGCAGAAATCATCATCATGGGCGATTTCAATGTACACAACACTGCTTGGCTCGTACACTCCAACAGAACGGATGAAGCTGGGCGACAATCCGAAGCTTTCGCCATCACTCACGGCTTAGAGCAGCTTATCAAAGAACCCACACGAATTCCCGATGCCAATAACCATTCAGCTAACATACTTGACTTATTCCTCACTAATAATTCAGCACCCTACACCATAGATGTACGAGCTCCACTTGGCAATTCTGACCACACACTCATCTCCACAACCTGCCCATTTTTCATTCCATCAACTACTCCGGCACCCCCACGTCTTATATGGCATTACAATTCAGGAGATTGGGACGGTCTCCGCATGTTTTTCTCCGAGTTTCCTTGGCATAGAGTATGCTTTGACTCTGAGGACCCTTCACAGTGTGCTGCGAAAATATCCGAGATCATCATGCTCGGAATGGACACATACATACCTCATTTTTCGAAAAGATCATCACCTTCGAAACCCTGGTTCAACAAAAACTGTTCTAGAACTGTTTCCTTGAAACAAACAGCCTACCATCGCTGGCGCAAAAACCCTAACCTCGCGACTAGAGCAGAATACGTTGATGCCAGGAATAACTGCAGCCAAACAATAGATGCTTCGAAAGAAACATACAATGCCAAGATAAGATCGAAACTCATAGATTACCCCAATGGCTCACGTTCGTTTTGGTCCCTTGCTAAAGCGGTCGGAAGAAATGTCACTAATAGTTCATTTCCACCACTGTCCAAATCCGACGGCACATTAGCAACAACATCGCAGGAGAAAGCAAATATTCCCAAGGAAAACTGCCGCCAGACATTCCACCCATTGAGAGTCGAATGCCCGAAATCGTCTTCCGTCAACGCACTATCAGACGAATTTCGCTTGGTCTCAAAACGAATAAGGCTAACGGTCCTGATGGAATTCCACCCATTATCCTCAAAAAATGTGCACCAGAATTAACACCGATTCACAGCTAGAATCCAACCAATCCCCAAAAAAGGGAACAAGAACCTGCCCAACAACTACAGGCCCATTGCCCTGTTATCAGTAATCTCCAAAGTGATGGAGAAAGCCATCAATATTGAGCTTATCAAGTATCTGGAGAGCCCAGGAATCATCAATGATAGACAATACGGCTTTCGCCACCGAAGATCTACTGGAGATCTACTTGCCTACGTCACCCATTTATGGCAATCTTCAATAGAAAAACACGGGGAATCTCTAGCTGTCGCGTTGGACATATCGAAAGCATTCGACCTTGTTTGGCACGAAGGACTCCTCCACAAACTACCATCATACGGCTTGCCACCTCAGCTATGCCATCTCTTATCGAGTTTTCTTTCAGGCAGATCGCTTCACGTGGTGGTGGACGGTGTATCGTCTGATACCATTTGCATCAATTCCGGCGTTCCACAAGGATCAATTTTGGCACCAACATTATTCCTGTTTCATATCAATGATCTGTTGGGAGTAACAACTTGCCCCATCCATAGCTTTGCAGATGATAGTACCCTCCATACTGCGTTCTCTTCCAGAATTCCCAGTTCTTCCCAGGAAACTAAGAACTCACGGCGCAGGCAGGTCAATGCTGTCAATGAAGATCTTGCTGAAATCACAGCCTGGGGAACAAACAACCTAATTGAATTCAACGCCACCAAAACTCAATCCTGCATTTTCTCTAGAAAGGCGGAACTCAGTATGCCCGATATTGTAATGTCTGGCTCCACCATCCCTACCAAGCCTACCATATCTATGTTCGGTATTTCCATCAGCAACACTCTTTCATGGGATAATCATGTCAGATCCATCGCAAAAGCTGCTTCACAAAAACTCGGATTCTTGTTCCATGTGAAAAGCTACTTTACACCTCAACAGCTTCTCATGATCTACAAAGCGCAGAAACGGCCTGTTCTAGAATACTGTTCCCACATATGGGGTTCAGCACCAAAACATACGCTGATGCTCTTAGATTCCATTCAGAGAAGAGCCATTCGCCTGGTGGGTGACGCCACACTCACTCACTCTTTGACATCATTGGGACACCGTAGAAAGGTCGGCCACCTTTCACTTTTCTATCGATACTTCCACGGGAAATGTTCTTCGGAAATCTCTGCTATCATCCCTTCACTAGCAATACCAATCAGACGAACTAGACAAGCCCAGTCAGCACATCCTTTCGTTGTCAACCTCGAAAGATGTCGAACAGCACTTTATCAAGACTCCTTCATCCATAGAACGGCTAGGCTCTGGAATTCATTGCCTGTGGAAGTATTCCCAACACAATAACTACGTCTCTTTCTAACTTTACTGGAAAAACAACTTCATCGATTTAAAATCTCCTTAGTAATAAGAATTCCATTGGGCTACCTGTCGCAATTTTATAACTGACCTTACCTAGTTCTAGCGTTTTCATTACATTTCGAGATCCTTCGGCAATCTTCCATCTTTCACGCAAACATCCCCGAGTCCATCTCGCAGAAGGTGTTCTTTTAACAATATCTTCATTTTGCGAAACGCTCCAGACTTCAGTTTTCACATTCAAGTAATTGAATCAGTCAGAGAGAATTTTTGAAAGAATCAATTCAACGAGTGGTATCCCGACCAGAGTTTCATAAGATTCCGTTTGATAAATCAAGAAAAGTCCACTAAACCAGTGAGTAACCAAGCTGTACTTCAACATTCTACAGCAAACTATTCTAACAATGTAACTATGACCAGCTTTATACCGAAATAATTTTGTATATTGATGACTGGTACCTCCGAAAGGATGAACAACTCGGAGTGTGGTTTTTAAGCAACATACTTCGTTTCTCAAATTCGAAGGAAACATACGAAAATCGCGTGAATTTAGTGAAGTTAACAACTTGAACCATTCTAGTATCGAAGATCCACCAGGAGAGAATCGATACATTATGTGTTCTTAAGGCATGTAATAATTGTATTGTATCGAACGGCACCTGTGCCAATGAATATCCTGTGCGGTGACTTGCTGGCATACTTCCGTCATGTGATAATGAGTTGGAACAAAAAGCAAATAAAAGGGGACAATCTCTTATTTGCGAATATCCAAACGTGCTGGGACTCAAACTGATCATAGTGACATAGCGTCAATATTTCCGAAAATATTACGCCCCCGTCGAAAGATAATATCCAATGGACCAGTCTGAAACTCATGTGGTGCTCACACTACAAGTATTCTAATCTTTAGGGAGGGGCGAAATATACTCTGAAATATTGATTATGTATTATGCGATTATGGCACGCAGCGAATTGGGTCTCAACCTCAAGACATATCT